GGGTGGATACGCACCGTGGAGATTGCGCTGGAGGGCCCCCGTGTGGCAGTCGGCGTCGGCGTCGGCGGCGAAGGACGGGGGAGAGGGACGAGAGCGGGTGGGGGGCGAGGAGGAAGAGAGAGGAGGAGCACGAAGGCGTGGCTTTTATGGGGAGGTTCGTAATTTGTGAATTTCGAAAAGAAGGAGAGGAGTAAATACGAAGGACTCGGGAAAGCAGAAGGAGAAAGAAGAGGAATAATGTTCGGATTCGGTGAGGGTATGGCCGAGGCCGACACGACGCGTACATACAGTATGATTTTATTATACTTATATACACACGTACAGTATATTCGATGCAAAAAAAACATATATATATATATACAGCCACGGATGGAATGGAATTCTAAAAATTGCATGCATCATAAATCTGGGTCTTTGGGTGCCGAAAGGTGGCCGTCCATGCCAACCCGAGCCTCCTACGATCGAGTCACCCTGCGCCGCCCACGGAAGCCGTGATAAAGTATCGTGCTGGAGTTTTTAGCTTATGCATAGACAACGAGGTTTTTTGCTCCCGACATGAGTATGAATAAAGGCATCTCCTACGACAACCACATAAAAGTGACCAGTTCACATATACGGATGTGAAAAGGTGACATCCAACTGTAACCGTATACATCTGGCTTTTTAAAAAAAAATCAATCTACACAATCAAGTAGCGGCATGCAAAGGACACATAAATTCAAGTAGCCGCACGCAGCACTAGTTAAATTTTAAAAAAGTTCAAATATTTTACATCCCAGCATTGTTGTCCTCTTTTACCGCTCATTGATGCTCAATCAAATCTTCTTTGAGCTGCTCGTGAGTTGGTCGATGCTGAATTTATTGATGTATTTAAATAAACTCCTTAAATGTGGCCGGATTCTGGTCCGGAAGTTGGATAGGATCAACCATGTTCTTAAATTTCAGAGTTGTGGCAGGATTGTCACCATTATCCTCGACGATCATGCTGTGCATGATCACTCAACATGTCATCGTCTCCTACAAGGTTTTCGGATCTCATTGTTTTGCAGGTCCACAAACAACTATAAAACCGGTCTGAATAACTCTAAATGTCATCTCGACATCCTTTCTATTTGCTTCTTGTCTTTGGGCAAAGTGAGTCTTTTTCTCGTCAACTAGGTTTGAGATGGTGCTGACAAAGCTAGCCTATGGAGGATAGATATTGTCAACCAAATAATAGCTCATGTCCATTAACAGTATAGTGGCAAGAAGGAGCTTTTTCTTCAGTCAGCCTCGCAAACAACGACGATCATTGCAGCATATTGATATTATTGTGAGACCTAGGCATGCCAAAGCAAGCGTACCAAATTCAAAGATCATGTGATGCAGCTGCCTCAAGAATGATGGTGGGCTTCTTAACATGACTCTGATATTGCCCTTATAAAGCCCTCGGGTAATTGTTTCATTTTCAATGCATGCAATCAAGAGATTCAAGCAAACCTGACCACCCTCTTAGCCCCGAGATTGGCAGGAGCCTCTCGGTGTCTGTCACAGTTGGTTCTCCCTGTTGGGAGCGTAGCATGCAATTTCAAAAAAAATCCTACGCTCACGCAAGATCTATCTAGGAGATGCATAGCAACAAGAGGGGGAGAGTGTGTCTACGTACCCTTGTAGACCGAAAGCGGAAGCATTTGACAACGCGGTTGATGTATTCAAACTTATCTGCGCTTCAACCGATCAAGTACCGAACGCATGGCACCTCCGCGTTCTGCACACGTTCAGCTCGCTGACGTCCCTTGCCTTCTTGATCCAGTAAGATGTCGAGGTAGTAGATGAGTTCCGTCAGCGCGACAGAGTGGTGACGATGTTGGTGAAGTGATCCTCGCAGGGCTTCGCCTAAGAACTACGAAAATATGACCGGAGATGTAAACGGCGGATAGGGGTGCCGCACACGGCTAGTCAATTGTCTGGTGTGTGCTAGGCGCCCCCCTCCCACATATATATAGTGTAACGCCCTCGATGCGGCTATATCTCCCACGTGTCTAGCACGACTTAGAGGCATAACCGCATTGAAAGCAATGTCGCAAGTGAGGTAATCTTCACACAACCCATGTAATACATAAGGGGAAGAGATACATAGTTGGCTTACAATCGCCACTTCACACAATACATGAATAAACCATTACATCATCCAGATACAATCAAGGTCCGACTATGAAACCAAAATAAAAGAAGACTACCCCAAATGCTACACAGATCCCCGATCGTCCCAGCTGGGCTCCACTACTGATCAACTAGAAACGAAACAACACAAAGGACAAGATCTTCATCGAACTCCTCCTTGAGCTTGGTTGCGTCACCTGCTCGGTAACATCGGCACTTGCAAACTGGTTTTGAAAGTATCTGTGAGTCACAGGGACTCAGCAATCTCACACCCTTGCGATCAAGACTATTTAAGCTTATGGGTAAGGTAAAGGTATGATGTGGAGCTGCAGCAAGCGACTAGCATATATGGTGGCTAACATACGCAAAATGAGAGCGAGAAGAGAAGGCAAAAGCACGGTCGATAAACTATGATCAAGAAGTGATCCAAGTCTACTTACGCCAAGCATAACTCCAACACCGTGTTCACTTCCCGGACTTTGCCGAGAAGAGACCATCACGGTTACACACGCGGTTGATGCATTTTAATTAAGATTAAGTTTCAGGTTTTCTACAACCGGACATTAACAAATTCCCATCTGCCCATAACCGCGGGCACGGCTTTCGAAAGTTCAAATCCCTGCAGGGGTGTCCCAACTTAGCCCATCACAAGCTCTCACGGTCAACGAAGGATATTCCTTCTCCCAAGATAATCCGATCAGACTCGGCATCCCGGTTACAAGACATCCTCGACAATGGTAAAACAAGTCCAGCAAAGCCACCCAGATGTGCCGACAAATCCCGATAGGAGCTGCACATATCTCATTCTCAGGGCACACCGGATGAGCAAGACGTCGGGTAGGCCAGCCCAGAGTTGCCCCTGGTAGCCCCGGACATCGCTCGGTTGGACCAACACTTAGAGAAGCACTGGCCCAGGGGGGTTAAAATAAAGATGACCCTCGGGATGTGCGACTCCCAAGGGAAAAAAGGCTAGGTGGCGAATGGTAAAACCAATGTTGGGCCTTGCTGGAGGAGTTTTATTCAAGGCGAACTGTCAAGGGGTTCCCATTATAACCTAACCGCGTAAGGAACGCAAAAATCCGGGAACATAACACCGATATGACGGAAACTAGGGCGGCAAGAGTGGAACAAAACACCAGGCATAAGGCCGAGCCTTCCACCCTTTACCAAGTATATAGATGCATTAATTAAAATAAGAGATATTGTGATACCCCAACAAAATATCCATGTTCCAAACATGGAACAAGCTCCAATCTTCACCTGCAACTAACAACGCTATAAGAGGGGCTGAGCAAAGCGGTAACATAGCCAAACAACGGTTTGCTAGGACAAGGTGGGTTAGAGGCTTGGCTTAACAATATGGGAGGCATGATAAGCAAGTGGTAGGTATCGCAGCATAGGCATAGCAAAAGAGCGAGCAACTAGCAAGCAAAGATAGAAGTGATTTCGAGGGTATGGTCATCTTGCCTGAAATCCCGCAAGGAAGAAGAACGAGTCCATGAAGAAGACAAACGGACGTAGTCGAACGGGTCCTCACAAACGCGACGTTACCGGATTACCGAGAAGAAGTACACCGGAAAGAAAGCAAACAACATAGTAAACAACCATCACATCAACATGACATGATGCACAACCAAGTATGATGCATGTCTGGTTTAAATATGCATGGCATGGCAAATGGCATAAACAAAACTACAAGTTAAGTGGAGCTTAATATGCAACGAGTTGCATATTAATGGAACACCACATCAATTATTCAGTTCTCTCTCGTTTATGTACCCAACAATATTAAATGTTGTTAAACATGGCAAGAGGTGAAACATGAGTAAAATACATAGTTAGGCATTTTAAATGAGGCCGGAAACATCAAACAACAATTCCGGTAAATCCTCATGTGCATTTAGCAATTTAATGCAAACAACAATTTTAACCATTTAAATGTTATAAACATGATGCGGATGACATGTGCAAGTTTATGCCATTTTTATTAAAAGTTGACAAGAGCATTATGAAGCATTTGTCACCGTGGTGG